AGGTAATAATGTAGACTAACAATATAAATTGGTTAAATTAAATTAAATTGGCTATTAATGCTGTTGTTTAACACTACAATATTAATATGAAAATTTTAAACTACAAACCTAAATTATGCATTAATTGACGTTTAATTTGTCAAAGTATATGATGAGCGTTAATCAGATTTTTTTATCAAATTTTATTTTGTTGAGATTTATTGAGCACATCAGCTATGCTATTTTCTCCAAAATGCCAGACATATTTTGGAGACATTTTAAAATGCTTTTTTCAGAATCACATCTGACACCACTTACGACGGGCGGGGGAGACGGCGAGGGACTGGCACATTGGTCCGGACTGTGGCTCTTCTTCTGAATAAATGAAAATTATTTAACACTGTTTACACTTGAATTAAAAATATTTGACCAAAGGAAAACAAGAGCAGGACTAGAGAGAGATGATTTAGATTTCAATTTCTGTGACTGCACGACMTACAGGAGACACGGCATTGACAGCAGTCATTCATTCCTTGGCTTTAGCAGGTCCTTTAAAACCACAGCTGACGCTGCTAAAAATGACAGATTTTCTTTTCAGGATCTCAAAGCAGGACTTCAATCTCTGAAATCGGAAGTTATTCTTTTTACTTTGCACTGTTATTTTCACGAATGAACACTTCCTGGTATGTGAGGCAGGAAACGTAGCCTTATATGGTGTTTTTAGGGTGGTATTAGTAAATTTCCTCTCCTCCTGCACGAGCACCTGAATATGTACAGGTGGTGAATACAAAATGTTTATGCTGCTCATTTACACACTTTTCCTGAAGATGGTAGTGTTTGCTGAATGTGACGTGGCAGCAGACAAATCATTTCAGCCTCTTCAGTCTAGTTGCAGCCTCAGCAGCACATCATAGTTTTTAGAAACAAAAAAAAATTGTTTTGTGGAAAAACACTCCAGTCTGGACAAGGCCAAAGATTTTTCACTATTTTTGATGTTTCTCTGTTGAATTGTTTGTTCTTGGTCTCGTTGTGTAGTTTTCTCTTCACTCGTGTCTGTCTGTGTTCTCACAGCTGTACAGTCTACAGAGACAGATTGATGACAGGTGTGCTGACATAAACAAGCTGAAGCAAGAGCAGCAGAGTCTCCTGGGGTTGGTCAGCTCTCTGGAGGGTGACATCACAGACCTGAAGAGACAGATCTCTGGACACGAGAAGACCAGCCAAGACAAGGTGACAGGGATCAGAATCTTTTTACCCTCATTGATTTGATTAGCATACATTTATTTAAATAGTGTTCTGACAGGATGCATGCCAGCAGCACGTCTCCATGTACAGTACAACCAGCCAATAAAAATCAAGTCTTAAACTGGTTCAGTGTTTCTCATGTGTCCAGCCATCAAGTTAACTTGACTGAAAAATGTTTCTCAGCATTTGGGAACKTTTGAAACCAGTCTAGAAGTCATGACTCACCGTGTACATGTTCAATTCCCCACCTTTCCCTTTTTGTTGCAATGTGCTTGAGCAAGACACCTAATCCATAACTGCTCCCTTACCTCACATTAATGATGGGTGAAAAAAAAAAGCAGTGAACAGAATCTGTTATTGTTTGGGCTCATTCAGTGAAAACACAGTACCATGGGACCTCTCAAACAAAAGATTCATGTGGGGTGGCAAAGGAATTTCCAAAATAAACGTGAAATAAAAACTTAAGGTAACCATGTTCGGTGGTAGTTTTATTATAATGCTGCAGCATGGTTCTACAGAATGCTCCAGTCTGAGGAAGTTACATTAAGTAAAACAATAAGACATATACACTCACTGGCCACTTTATTAGGTACACCTGTCCAACTGCTCATTAAAGCAAACGTCGAATCAGCCAATCCCATGGCTTACAAGTGTGTTGTTTAGGATTCAGAATCACTGGAGACAAAAAACAGATTTAAAAGGTTTATTAAAGCGCTGGATGTGAGTGATCCTCTGGACCCTTGAAGCAGACCACACTGTGTAGCAGAACACTGATGAGTGTCGGGAACAGATAAGGTGGATTTGCTGAATAAAAAAGTTGTTACTGACCTTCAATCTGCGGATGGATTAGTGCAGGCGAGTCTACAACTCATGGTGATCCGAGAGGGGACAGATCCGGGTAAAGGGGCTGACTGGTTTTGGTAATCCAGAGGGTGGTCCAAGGTGAGAGCTGGGAGGTGAGAAATTCAAAAACAAATCCAAATCACAATCCAGGTAGCGGTGTCCAGGGGGCAGAAACGGGCTTGAAAGCCAAGGATCAGAAACAGCGTTGGCAAGGAACAGGCAGGAGACGAAGGTCTAGAGATCAGGCATGGAAATAATGCCGGACATCTACTTGGTGAACCGTTCAATAACCTGGCAGTGAGAGACTGTGGGCATGGTGCTTAAATGGGAGGCAGAACAGGTGAAACAGATGAAAGTGATTACTGTGGCAGTGAAGCAGGGGGCATGGCATGAGCAGAGGAGCTGGAGAACAGGCTGTGGTTGACAAGCTGCTGAGAACCATATGGAGCTGCCAAAACATGACAATGGCAGCAACTCAGTGCATTTAGGCATGTAGACATGGCCAAGACGATCTGCTGCGGTTCAAACTGAGCATCAGTATGGGGAAGAAAAATGATTTAAGTGACTTTGAACGTGGCATGGTTGTTGGTGCCAAATGAGCTGCTCTGAATTTTTCAGAAACTGCTGATCTACTGGGATTTTCACGCACAACCAGCCAGACTTTTTTGCTGTCCATCATTTTGACTGACAGGGTAAAAAAATTGTCATGTTCAGTTTTTACCCATCACTTCCTTTTTAAATGACAATGACTAAACATTCAATAGAATGTAGCAGTTGTCATGTTGGTTTTGCAGTTTTGCCTCAGATGTGGCACGTGCAGGATTTTATTGAAGAAAAGCTCATCAGCGCACCTCACACAAATACAGGCCCCATGAGCACGATGCGCATGGCGCTGAAAAGCAGTGCATCTGTCCCACACCAGGCCCAACACGCACAATGCGACGTACACACACTGTCCTGCTTTTGACTGTTACAAAATGTAAAAAAAATAGCCCAGAAAATAAAAAACCTACAAAGGTTATTTAATGGCTGCAGTTTGCCACATTAGATAATGCCTCCTCATTTCTGTCTCTGCCTCTTTTCCAGGAGGACGAGAGAAGAAAGGCATGAAGGCAGAAATGCTGTGAGCTGTCAGTCACTATGCGCTGCTGCCATTGTGTTAAAAATATTATGAAATAAAAACTGAAAAAGAATATGGATTTSATTTATGCACTTTAACTTTGCATAAATGCTTCCAGTAAATGTGGGCAGATAGCCTGTATGTCAAAATACCTAACACGAACCAAACTCTCATTTTCATATTCACTCAGGACATCACCATTTCTGATCTGAAGAAAAAGGTCCAGAACCTGGAGAAACTGAAGTTCCTGCTTGAGTTTCAGTTGGACGACTCACAGAAGCAGGTGGAGCCTCAGCAGGATGACATAAACAAGAAGAGGGTGAAGATTGCTCAGGTGTGTGGAAAGTYTTTTTATATAGAGTGGTAAGATGATTAAGTTGGCTGTGGTGGAGTGGTTGGGGGAGTTGTCCTGTAACGATGGGTCGTAGGTTTGGTCCTCCGTTCCAGCTGTCTCAGTCAGCGTCCCTGGGCAAGACACTTTTCCCACCTTGCCAATGTTGGTCAGAGGGTCCAGTGGTGCAGGTGCATGGCAGTTTGCCCCAGGGCAGCTGTGGCTACAATGTAGCTTATCACCATAAGTGTGAATGTGTGAGTGCATGKGTGAATGACTGTAAATGTAAAGCATTTTGGGGTCTGACTGGGCTTGATAAAATCCTATGTAAGTTCAGACCATTTACTACTTTTAACATTTTACTGGATGTCTGGGAATTAAATTTTTGTTTCATCAGTCCAGCAAACGTTGTGTTGATGGTATGATTGTACGTAATATCAAATTGTTTACATTAGCACAGCTGCAAATCCACAAATCACCATGACAAACCTTCAGAGTTTTCTCTTCCTGAACATCACTGTTGCATGGTAGATTTTTTTTTTCGTGGCTAAGAACAGAAAAAGTTTAAATTAATTCATCTAGTTTCATTGACCCAACTCCAACACTTGCTGATGTCAGGAGCATCTGATTTTATCTACAAATTCTAGTTCCAGAAAAGCTGATTTTTAAAAACAAGTCAACTCAAATTAAATCTGGTGTTTGTGCATGTTGTTTGAATCTTTAATTACCAGACACAAGTAAGAAATATTTATCTTTGTGATGAACAATACTATTCAGAAAAAAACAAGTC